GAAAGAGATCATCGTTTATGAGAAAATGAGAAAAGAGGGATAGTCAATTCATCTCTCAATCATTTATTGTTCTCAATCGTTTCTTAATCGTTCATCATTTACTAAGAGGAGAAGAAGAGAGGATATGCAAAATTAGGTAAGTGTACATTTCGGTGTGATGATATTATGATATGAAAAAAATTAGTATTAAGTAGAGTATTAAAAGAAATCGTATTAAAATTTAGAGTTTAAGGTAGGAGTTCAAAGAAATGGAAAATGCAAAAAAATTAAGTGCTAATAACAGTCCTCTTAAAATGGTCATCCCTAAATGTGACCCTTAAATTACTAAATTTTCTAGAGTAATGTTAGAGATTCCAAAAATTCTACCAAAGTTTTTATAAAATGTCTCACATGGGTGTGAGATCCACACAATGCGGGTCTCATGTGGATCCCACACCCGTGTGAGACATTTGATAGAACTTTTGGTAAAATTTTTAGGGTCTCTAACAATTTTTGATTTGCTCTTATCCCTCCAAGTTTAATGCTTAATTCAATTAGAGTTGCTAGATAGCTTGAATTTTTCCTGGCCCAAATGGCTCTAAGTGCCAAAATGACGTTGTTTTGACACCTTTTTCTTTGCTTTTCTTTTCTTTTCTTTTCTTTTTTATTCCCTTCTCTTCTTCCTCTTTTTCCTCTTTTGCCTTCCCTCTCTCATTTTCCATTCTTTAATTAGCTTATTTTAATCTAATTTAATCATACCTAATCAGTTTTCAGATAATTGTACTATAAAATCACATAAATTATGAGGGTCACGGAACATCAATCGGTTTCAGATTCGGCCGCCGATAAGGCCTCAATTAGCAGTTTAAACATATAAGTATGAACAGATAATCATACAATCAAACAGATAGAATGCAATTTAACTAGCATATACTCAATCAATTCGGTTTCTAGTTTCAGTCAGTCAGTTCAGTACTTTTAATCAGTCCAATTATCAGTCATAATCAATTCAGTTTAACGGTAATCGGTGTTTATCGGTAATCAATCAGTCAGTAATCGGTAAACAGTATGAGGGTTGTTACAATCATGGTGGGTTGGGTTGTGATTCAGCCAAAGATCATGGTTCAGCCGAAGATCAAGCTTTTGTTCTCCCTCTTCTTTTTTTCTTCTCATTTCTTTCTCCTCCTCTTTTTCTCATGCCTCTCTGTTTCTCTCAAACCAGTTTCAAGAAGAAGGGAAAAAGAAAAAGAAAAAATTGTGCCAAAACGAGGCATTCGAGCCCCCTCCAATTTCAAGTTACCACGCATTTTTCTAATTCAATATACTCTAAATTCCAAATCCTAAGTCTTCGTTTGAGATATGAGTTGGTTTTTTTGCTAAGCCTTGGACTAAAAAGTTTCGTTTTGGATAGACTTTTTTAACTTTTGTGAGAAGGGAAATGAAATGATTATGACTTAAATGTGAGGTTTTATCTTATTAAACTAAAAAAATTATTTTGTCTTTTTATGACTATTTTAGTCAAAAAAAAGATGCCAAACATAACCTAAATAAAATGCAGCCAATGAAACCCTTGCTTTTCACCGACCAGATCACATATATGATGGAGAGTTTCAGAAAGGACACATTCCCATCTTCAGAACCCCACACAACACCCAGAGTGTTTGTTTCTTGGGAAAATTACATGGTGGCCCTCGGATAAGTACATGTGATGTTTAATTTAATTTTGAGAAATTTATTAAAAAATTCTTTTTCAAGTGTTTATATCTCAATTAGTCCATAAGATATTCTTATATTCTGATAGATCCTATTATTTAGTTATTTGATCTACTAAATTCTAATTATCATATTTAAAGTATTTCATAGATATTTCTACCCTTACAAATATTTTTTAAACGGTTAGCAATTTGGTAATGTGAACATTGGTATTTTACATTGTGAATATGCACATTGCCGTGTAAATATTCACATTGACATGGTAACATTCACATCACGGAACATTCACATCACGGAACATTTACATTGTAAATGTGAATATTAGACCATCTCCAACGGTTCACCAAACCTGGCATCAAATTTGAAATTTGGTAAAAAAGTTACTGTTTGGAGCTTTAAAGGTTTCACCAAATCGGTATCAAATCGAGAATTCACCAAACATTTCACCAAAGTGAGAACACGCCCAGATTTCAGCAAATTACTGTTTGTTACCGTTGGGGAAGAGGAACCAGTCGACCAGCCGATTGCCCGGCCGGTTGACCAACTGGTCAACCACTAAAAAGTTCAAACAGTTCAAATTTATAAGTTCAAACAATTCAAAAAAAAAAATTTGCCTTACCGATCGACCACTAAAGGGTTCAAACAGTTCAAAAAAAAGGTTCAAATAATTTTCAAAAAAAAAAAAAATTTTTTTGCCCTTACCAGTCGACTAACCGGTTGTCCCGGCGCAAATTTGATGAAAGCTCACCGTTGGAGCCAGTGGTATCAAATTGAGAAAATCGTCTTTTTTCCTCAGATTTGATGAAAAAAGAAGTTCACCGTTGGAAATGCTCTTATTAAGAGTATTTTGGTAAGTATATCACCCATAAAACTTATTAGATCATAAAAAATTAATGTGAATTAAATGAAATATAAATAACTGAAAAAAAATTATGAAAAAATGTCCCTATAATTTTCATTGATTTAAACAGTTGAATTCGTTACTTTTTATGTTGATTTTTTAAAAATGACGGCTTCTCTTGTTGTTTTGATTTATCTATTACATAGACTCGCCAAAACAACTACTAGTCTACAAACCCTCGAGTAATAATGAAGAGTTCTATTTTATTCGCTCACCTTACAAGTTAATGACTATCATGGGGAAAATGTTAGGGTAAAATTCATTTGATCCCTTATTGTTTGAGTCAAAAGTACGATTTAAATATAAAAATTCTTATGTGATTTTAAATTAAAATGTAATTATTAACATTATTAATAATAAATATAACATGATGGGTAATATTAGGGATACAAAATTTTTTACCGAATGAATGACTAAATGTCCTAAATGGTTGTGAGGCTCTTTTTTATGAGCTCCACCCACATCCATGTGAAACATTTGATGATTCATTTGATAAAAAATTTAAGACCTATCGCATTTTCCTAACATGATTATAATACTTTCAAATTTTATATATATATATATATATATGGGATATGATTGAGACCCCTTCAAAACTTCCACCTCCACCACCCTCCACACACATGTGAGGGTTGGTGGTTGGTGAAAAAGAAAAAAAAATAAAAAAAATTTTTGGCCAATCAGCAGCATTGGGGGTGCTGGTATTCTCCCCCACTGAAGGTCTTAATCTTTTTTGATAATTAATAATTGACATATAGATAAAGATAAAATTATAATAATCTATTTTGACTTTATGTCTAACACTAAACCAACGTTCAAATAATACACAATAATGGGTACGCATCTAATCTTTGACATCATACACAAAATAATTGCCCTGAGACTTGAACTCATAACTTCAAGGTTATTAGGTCAAAATTTTATCATTTATTATGTCTAACATTAATTCAATTAAATCACAATAATTATAATGTTTTACTTATTTATTATCATACTTAACTTTTTATTCTAATTTTAATTTAATTATATTTTATATCTCAATTAATCCTAAATATTTTATTATTTAATGTAATTCCTAACTTTTTAATCTAATGTTAATTTAATTATATTTGATATCACAATTAATTTTAATTTATTAATTATTTATTGTAATTTCTAACATGTTAATCTAATTTTAATTTAATCATATTTTAGATCAATTCTTAATTAGTATTTGTTTTATATTTTTATTTAATTATATTTTATTCTTTAGATCAATCTTTAATTATATTTTAATTTATTTTATTTTAATTAACATATTAATCTAATTTTAGGTTTGAAGAAGATAGAGGTAAAATTATATTTTTGTTGTTTTAATTTCACTTTATTTTTTCGCAGAAAACCAAATTCACTCTAAAAAATAGTGTGTGTGATATACCTTCGGTTAGTTTGGATGAAAAACCTAACAATTTCACTTTAATCTAAAATCCCATAGAAGTTTTCTAATTATATTTAAACAATAAAGAGTAAAGTGCTTTAACCCATCCCACATATATAGGTGATGTTTAACTAATGGGATCACACAAAAATGAATGAATTTGAGCCAAGTTTATTTTCCACCAAGCCACAAAACTGGTCAAACCAATTTCATTTATAGTATAATAATAGTATATGCAATAATTAGTGTACTAACTAATATATCAATTGATGATGTGATATAATTTAAGAGATTTTTAATATTTATAATTTGTATAATGAGTGAAATCAATAATAATATTAATACATTAGTTAATATACTAATTTAGTGTATGTAACACCACCGTTTATCTTATGATTACTGCTTTTATTGGGCCAAGCAATTTGCTCCTTTATTATTATACCCCAAGAGTAGATGTGTTTTTAAGGCATCAATTGCAGTTTCTTTGATTCTAATAGCTCAACAAGATGCATAAAATGTCTCATTTCATTATTCGCTCAAGTCTCCTACATACATGTTTGCTTGATAGCTAGTCTCGTTCTTACTAGTTGACCTCCTCGTCTCACAGATCTATTTTTTAATATTTGCTTGGCTTTGCAAACACCCCCAATGAAATTTAGGGAACTAGTTAAGGTATATACCGAGTCACATAATTCCGTAAAACCGGTATGCCAACACCTGTGGCATTTCTCTCCCTTTCCTAGGAGAGAGCTTGGGGGTTACTTAGAAGCAAATTTTTAACTTAATTTTTATAAATAAACTGACATACAATAATGAAATTTTAATATCTGAAACAAAAAAAAAAAAATCCCCTCATAATAATATCATAAATGTCACATCAATTAATAAAAAAATTACAAACACCACCAAATACTAAGAAAAAAATACACCAAAAAACCCATTTTCAGAACCATATATATATATATATATAAGAAATCCATGATTAAGAAAAAAATAAGGAAAAAAAAAAAAAAGAAAAAAAAAAAAGAGTAGTTCCCTACAATAACATTTGTTTACAATATGACTCTATAACCCCAACATACAAACTTTACATACCACAACCAAGTAAATCTGAAACATGGTAAAAATTCCGCAATCCCAGAAGCAAATCCATCACCGATTCATCATGCACCAGCCAAATCGAAACCAGAAACAAACACAGATTCAAAAACACCCGTGTCTGGAAATGGAAAGACCAACAATCCCAGCATCAAACACCAGCCAAACAGAAAGCAGAATCAAACACGGATTCAAAAACACTGGTGCTTGGAAACAGGAAGACCAACAGTCGCAACCATCAAGTGTCAAGCATTTATTTCAGAATTGCACTGATGCTCTCTGCTGCAGCTTCTTTTGCTCCAAAACATGCTTGAGCAACTCGTTTTCTCAAGCCTCATACTTTCCAGTTTGTCCTGGTCCATTGATGCGGATCGTGAGCGTTGCGGAGATTCGTCTCGTGTTTCAATGTCTCGGGGTTCACAAGGACACGGTTCATCACTACACGTGCACAATGGAACAGCCACGGAAGGAAATGGACTACACGTGACGGGGCAGAAAAGATCAGAAGAAACAGAAGCCACACGATTCTTTCGAATCTCTGTTGTAGAGGTTGGTGGTGTTGAACGATCTGCTTCACGAGGGTGAAGCATGCACGGAGTACAGAGACTGAGGGATAGATGAAATTTGATTTCCTTTACCGGAAATCCAGGAAGTTTGGCAAAAGAGGTAATGCCATGACGACATAGAGGGCATGGAATGGACCCAGGTGGCGTTAGCAATTCGGAAGAGATATTACTGGCAGAGCAAAGGTAGAGTGCACATCTTACACAAAGCTCATGCCCACAACCTGAAAATACAGATAACAGTTGAATATTCCAACCGTACGGTTTTAAAGTTAATGGTGTAAAGAGATATTCAGCAATAGTTAAAAGAGTTGAATGTAATTGACCCTATTTTAAATTGATGTAACTATGAATATAATAGCAGTTCTGGAGAACGAAATCAAGGGTCCAAGAGTGGCTTTAACGAAAATGTGCCTAAGCAAACAGACTAACATTTTTAACCCAAAAAAAAGATAGGAAAATAGAATGTATCAAATACAAATTGACATTGGAAGAATTTATAATATATACATATATATAAAAAAGGACTCCTTAAGAGTTTAGCCTTCCAAGCAAGCAAAAACTAATTAACCATTTGCTGAGGAACTTGAAGAAAGAAAACTTGGAACATTAATATGCCACAATTAGGAATTTGCCAGATTCTTTATTCCAACTAATTTGGCTTCATGCCAAAAAGACCAAACCAATTATCCATGCCTTACAGACACAGGAGGATTGATAACAGACAGTGCAGTGAGATTTTGAAAGAAAACGAGTGTTTTCTATTGCCTTGATCAAGACATATACAGCACAAGGGCCACACAAGTAAAGACGAGTGGCCTCGTTTGGGAACAGACTATTTTAATAACTCTTTGACTAAAATATGAGGTAAAAGAAACTAGTATGTTTGGAATAACTTGTTGATTTTTTACGAAAAGAAATGCAAAATGTAGAGAGAAAAGGAAATTTTTGACTTTTTGGTATAGGTTATAGGCTTTTTTATTTTTTTAGTAGCTTTTTGATTTTTTTTTTTTAGTAGCTTTTCGGCTTTTAGGCTAAAACTATTGCATGCCAAACGAGAATCTTCATAATAGGCTAGAAGTCAGCTTTGAACCCTTACTTTATCTTCTGGTTATCAACGAACAAACAGGATGCATTATTAAAGGAGGTTTTAATGTATGATATTTGTGGACAATAGTCATAGACTCATAGTTAAATATACTGGACTCTCAACCCAGTAATATATCAACAATATCAGAAGACTCACATTCCTGTAGCAATGCCTTAAAATTGGAAGATTGATGGTACATAACAATGTAGTTTAAATATCAGAAGACTCACAATTCAGACAAATGTAATTTAAACAAGACGAGAATTAAAAGAAATATCAGCGATTTGAAGTCAAAGAGGTACCTGAGGAAACTATTTTTTAACATGACATATATATATATATATATATATGTATGTATATATTTATCATCCATTGGAAGGAGAGATTGAGGATAGTGTCCATGGAATTATCTTCAAATTATATACATATATTTTTTTAAAAAGGTTAAGTTTCCAATAGCAATAAATTTAGAAGGAAATATGATAGAAAAGGCTACCTGTTGATCATGTTCATGCTAATGAATTATGATATCGTAGAAAAACAAAATCCCTATAAAAAGAGTTGCTAAAATTAGAATGCCCAGATGAATGAATTGCAAGACAATCGAAAAGTCACTGTGAATGTTGCTTTAATGACAAGTTTAAGGTATTCATTATGGAGGAGTAGATGATAGCATGATGGCTTGGATGGTTAACTAAATATAAATATATGACAAAAGCAATGAGCACCGGCGAGGACGGTTTCGATTTGAGGAGAAGATAGGTTTTGAGAGACAACAAGATGGCCAATGATTTAAGAAATGGTGCATTTTTTAGAGCACTCTGTTTAGTTTTGAGTTTTACTTTTTGACTTAATGTGGGGGGAGAGAGAGAGAGAGAGTGGAAAACCCAATGTTTGGTATGCAGGAATGGAATAGAAGTAGAAGGTTGAATGGAATGAAATGGTCATTTCACTGTTTGGGGGCTCACATGGAATGTTGTAGAAATAGAATGACAATTTTCATTCTCATGTTTGGTTATACTTTATACTAATGGAATGGAATAATTTATTTTATTTATTTATCAAACTAGTAACAACCAATTTAAAATTGTCTAAATCAGGATCGTTTTGATAGTTGTGGAAGTGGTGGTGTGAGAGATGATGGTGATGGTAGCTGCAACATTGGTGGTGGTTGTAATTTGCTTTGGGGTGGGGGTGGGGGTGAAAGTAGGATGGTTATGGCAGTAATAGTAGGAAGGTAGAGTAGTGGTTGTGATGGTGGTAGTGGTAAGGTGGCGGCGGTAATAGAGGGTAGTTGGTAATTGTGGTGGCGGTGGTAAGATGGTTATGGCAATAATAGTAGGATGGTAAAGGTGGTTGGCAGTGATGGTGGTACAATAGTGATTGTGGTGGTGGAAGGTGGCAATGGCGGTGGTTGTGGCTGATAGGATGGTTATGGCAGTAATAGTAGGAAGGTAGAGTAGTGGTTGTGATGGTGGTAGTGGTAAGGTGGCGGTGGTAATAGAGGGTAGTTGGTAGTTGTGGTGGCGGTGGTAAGATGGTTATGGCAATAATAGTAGGATGGTAAAGGTGGTTGGCAGTGATGGTGGTACAATAGTGATTGTGGTGGTGGAAGGTGGCAATGGCGGTGGTTGTGGCCGATAGGATTGGTTATAACAATAATAGTAGGATGGTAGAGGTGGTTGGTGGTGATGGTGGTTGTGGTTATGGTTGTGCTAGTGGTGGCAGTAGTAGAGTGGTAGTGATGGTGGTAGCGTGGTGGTGATGAAGTGGATGGTGGTAATAGGTAGTGGTAGTGGTGGCAAGGTGGCGGCAGAGATGGTAGGATGATTATGGCAATAATAATAGGATGGTGAATATGGTTTGTGGTGATAGTGGTAGGGTGGCAGTGGCAGCGGTAGTAGGATTGTGGTTGGTGGCAGCGGTGGTGGTGGCAAAAGTGGATGGTAGTAATAGTGACACTCATTTTGAAAAGACTCTATAATAGAATGGAATGCACATTCCTTGGGCTGGATAGAGGAATGGGTATTCCTGCTCTTTGTTGAAATGACCATTTCAATGGAATGGCTATTCCCACTTGAATAACGTGTACCAAACAGAGGAAAAAGAATACAAATCTTGAATGGACATTCCATTCCAACCCCACTCTATCGTACCAAACTAAATACTCGACCAAGTCAGGTTATCCCAAAAGTACATGTATAATAAAATAATAAAATCAATGGCTCTATAATATTATTTCAAAATGTGAAGTTTAGAGAATAAAACCATTTGATTGAAAATTAAAAATTTAAAAAGCAAAGATGTTTTGGATTTTCGTTACATTTTTCATTCCTGAACATTTTAAGCCATTCTTAAATGCAAAAAGAAACCATATATAACTTATGATTCTCAAAATTCAAGTTTACGAGCTGACTCAACCCAGTAATATATCAAGTCGAGTTTGAATTTCGACTTGAACTTTGGATCTAGGAAGCACGGACACTTTGAAATGTCTGCCATGTTAGTGTCTGTGTCTTGTGTCGGATACACACACACCACGAACAAACTAATCTACGTGTCAAACACGCCACGTGGCATGTCAACTTTTTTAATTGTTAATTTTTTGAAAGACACGTTGGGTACACTATACAAAAACGTGTGTCCTGTGTTTTGGACATGCCTCAAGACACCTTCGTGGGCTTTCTTTTATAATTTTAAAAAGTTGATTCGCCTTTGTGGTCAAAGTAAAACATACGGAAATAAAGAGGAGGAAAGTGGAAAAATATATATATACAAGCTTGCTTATATATTGATGGCTTTAATATCTCAGTGCTCTAAATTTATATTCATATATATAATGAATTAAATAAAAAATTCCATATCCCTGACGTGTCCATATCGCAAAATTTTCAAAATCATTGTGTCCCATGTCTATCAGTGTCCAAGCATGTGTCCATATCCGTACTACTAAGATTTGGATAGAACGAAATGTCAAAAAACAATTCAAGGAGATAAAAATAAGGATTAAAGACTTATTTAAGTTGTCTAATGGCAAAACTTAAGTTGTCTAATGGCAAAACTCAAGTTGTTAGCTATGAGAACACTAGGCAGACTATTATCTTGGATAATATTCCCATAATCATCACCCCAACAGATCAGTACTAAAATAACTATAAAAATATAAAACTCATCATCGGTAAGTTTTTTTATTCATTTTCTGGCTAAGTCTGACATAGAGAAAACCAAAACATGCAGTCAAATAGAAGTACACTAGGTAAACCTTAAAAAGTGTGACAAGAAGTATATAGACAGAAGAGCTGACCTTCAGCGGCTACTGTACATGCTCTCTCCAGGCACACAGCACAAATCTCAGCATCATCACAGCAGGTTGCTGATGTTTGCAACCCATACTCTCTGCAGATAGCGAATAAAAAAAGTATTGATGTCCAGCAATGGCTATTATACAAAAGGGTTCTCTTTCATTAAAATTATCTTCCTACGGGATAAAATTCTCATCACACAGATCAACCTTACTTTTTAGATACTTCAGGAAGCACAGCCAAAATATGAACTTTATTAACTTCTAACGGAAATTATCAATTAAAGGTTGCACCCAGTGTACAAGGCTCTTGCTTGCAGTATAGTCTAGGAGAAGTAATAGGTAGCAACCTTAACCCAATTTCCTTGTGGATAGGCTGATTTTCATGACCCAAACCCACGCCACAGCATTGGGGGCAGATCGCACTTGCCATCGAGTTGGTTCACGATAACTTTGGAAATTATCACAATTCCATTTTCAATGAGCACAGTGTAGTTAAATATGAAGTTTATACACCTCCAAAACAACTTAGTTTATAACTTCCCTAAACTTTGATCCAGCAACAAAATTTTGAACTCCAAAGAAGAAAGAGCAAAGTGCAACTAAACAGGGAAGTAAAAAACTGTTTTATAACCTGATTGATAACTTCTTGTGGCAAACTTTGACAAAGTTCCACAAATGAACCTCAGGTCTTAGTTTATCTCGACATTCGAATTTTCATGCATCTAAGATTCAGAATTAGAAAACTTCCAGTCAATCACCAATTCACCATTAACAAAGACACAGCACATGTAAGGGTTACATGCACATGTTTTCCTGACTAGATGGTCCTTACTTTGTAAACTATCTGTCCGAAACCAAAATAATTAAATGTGTCCACAGAACTAAGCCATCTTCCTTTGTTGTCTAAGGCTTAAGGAACAGGTCATAAAGTGATGAAGGCAAAGAGTCATGATAGCACTATCCTCAAGAACTCCGGTGTCAAAATAGCCAGAAGTTGCAGTTATAGATGATTTGAGCATAAGAGAAATCCAAGAAGCTGTCAAGGTTGTAATACTCTATATTCATCTTCCAAATGAATTTCATTGATATTCTATATAAGCTCAATCTTGACTCACAAGCCTCATAGTGACCTCAGGTATCAAAGTTAGCACAGCTCATAAATACTACAGGATGTGCCATTCTCAGATCATATAAAGAAACAAGGACATAACTTTTAGTACCTTAACGATAAGGCATCTCGTGAGATGAGCTGCAAGAACTGGGTTATTTAGTCATGCTCTTCATCTCAAATTACACAGAGGCACACAAAGTATCTAACATGCTCATCTTTGAAGGCCAAGAAATGGTTCAACCATACACTTAGAAGAAATGCTGGTGCCCTGAATTTTAAGACCATTTTCAAGCAAATACTAGGGCTAGGGAAACTCAACAGAAAGCATCAGGATTCAGATGGACTACAGGATTTGTGAAGCTTCGGAAGTGTTTCATAAATTAAAGTCAAGCACCCAAATCATAATAACAATATATTTATTTTTCACTTCCCATACCTGCTAAGTCATGCTCTTCTCTTCCTAAAATGCATTCTTCCTATAGAATTATAATTTTTTAGGGTAAATACAATTTTACAAACACACCCCTTCAGGTTTGCTTAAAATACGGATTGCCTCATGTGATTTTAAAAATTATATCCCACCCCTTCAAATTTCTAATCACATAACAAATGGCTCTTCTATTAATAAATCATTAAATCAATTAACAGTTTTTACTGATGTCATAAATATATTTCAATTAATATTATAGTAATTTTACTATTGCATAGGAGAGTAGTTAGAAATTTTATTTTTTTTGTTAATTCTATTAAATAAAAAATTATGACTATGCGATATTTGTAATTTGTAGAACCACAAGGGACAATCCTTATTTTAAACAAATCTCAGGAAGGTATATTTGTAATTTACCCTTTTTTCATCATCCATTTTGCGTATAAAATAAGGGCATGAGTTTTTGAGATGCTTCATTTTTTGCTTCATGAGTCACTCAAGAATGCTCTATTACTTTTAAAATAAAATTGCTACAATTTAATTATATATGCAATGTGTTACCTCGACATTTTATAAGGCAATCTAAAACTGAAACAATTTTTATTATGTAAAGCCAACAAACAAGTGGATGTTCCACGAAATCAGTGGCTTGCAAAGAGGATAAGAATATATTCATTGGTGAAGGACATAAATTAGATCCCAATAATGAAATAAGAAGCATCAGAGGCTCTTCAATGAACACCAATCAGAATTCGTAAATAGTTTGCATGATTTTGTAAAGATACGCTGTCAATCATCTATGATGATAGGGTATAACAGGGAGGATTGTGACACCACTTTCCAGTCAAATATATAAAGGTCATACCCAGTGTAGAAGGCCCTTCCCCCACATTTTTGTGAAGAGGTTGATTCTCGGTTGTCAAGTGCTGGGAGTGGATACATTTGCACTCACTCCAAGTCATGATGTCTACGTATATATATACTTATCAAATATAAACATATGTATATACGTACATTTTATAGTTAGCACAAAAGGAAAGCTTAATGAGACATGTACGAGAACCTTGACCATGCCAACTAATAAGAGGCTTTATCTTCCTCCAGAATCAGGATTTTTCTCTCCTCCTTTTCCATGTAGCCTTTCAGCTAAAATACCCAAGAATCAGTGGCATGCAGCAAAATCAAAGCAACAATAATACAGCTAATGCATTGAAGCCAACTATCTCTGTCCTTCAACATCACACATGTAGGGGGACTATTAATCGTGAAATTCTATTAGAGTTGCCAATCATTCAGTTTCAGTCTACCAGGCTTAGGCATGTTCAAATTAACCTAAAGGATCGAAAATTCAACTCAACTAGAGGTTTGACCAAATAGGGTTAACTGTGTGACTTGATTTGAGTAAGACAACTCATCTCAATACGCATTATGTTAATTATAATGCTAAGCCAATATTATTAATTGAAGATACTAACAACCTTGACAGATCAACTAGGTTGCCAACCTAACACTTAAGTCGGATTATTGACTACCAAATTATTAACTTAGAACTTTCTAAAGTGATTTTCATTATTACCAAGTGGAACATTCAACTTAATTCTTGTGTTTCTGAACAGGGAATCCTTTTAAAGGTACCTGCCCCGCATCAGTTCTCATCTTGTCTTTATAAAATATGCAGACGACTAAACATTATGCAGTGTCCCCATGCATTAACTATGAGCTACCACATGATCTTATATATTTTCTCATATTTCCATAAAAGAAGTCCTTGTCCTGCTTTCATCATTCCTTTTCATTTCAATTTTCTCATCCAAACAAATTTCAAAATTCCTCCCATCACGACTAATATTTCTAAAATTTTCAATTTCTCCACTCCTTTGTCATCACAAAATAAATAAACTTTGTTCAAATGCAATAAGCAGGGCTGCCAATTATAGCTCAAAACAAAATGTTTAAACAAAACAATATCCTGAAGCACTATGAATTAATGTTCACCTTTAAAAAATAAAATGAAAACCAATCTCTCCAAAATTAATATTTTGTGGGTAGCAAACTTTCGGACCTAATCTCAAAAGTAGATATAATATAGTTCGTTGAAATTACCTTGCTATATTAAGTACACTCAAGAGAGGCAAGGATAAATAATTAGAAGGAGGAAACATCGGTATCGTAGAGCCAGAATTGGGATCTAGCAATGGCTCCAGCCAATGACGCCCCCAAGTCCTAGCAACATCAAGAGGAAGCCACCTGCAAGAATGCATGAATTTCCTTAGACATGCAAAGAGAAAATAGTTAAGTACATGAAGCAAACACTGGACACATGAGAACCCATTCACAAAACATTACCCATTGCAGTTTAAGGTCAACCGACTGGCACCTCTTGCAAGAAGGATCTATATATACAAGAACATGATCACTTCAAGATAACAGTACTTGCAATTGTCAGGAAATCATCGAAAATTGGACAAATACTCGCCTGACAGCATTTCAAATTTCCCCCACAAGCAGCATAGTGCAAAGGGGTGCTTCCAGCTCCTATAAAGAGATACATTCATAGTATTTATAAGTCAAAAACACAGACAGGCCTCCCACAAAACAAGCTTTTGAAACTCAAACAAATGACTTACCAATCAAATCCATTGATGTTCCATAATGAAATGTCACAGATGAAACATTTGCACGAAGATCAAGTAGGAGTTGTACACAATCAAAATAACCATTCAATGCAGCCATATGAAGAGCAGTGATACCACCATCAGCAGCCTTATTTACAAACTTGGACAGTGCACTGCATTTAAAATAAATCTATCACTGAACTGAATAGAACAATGCTTGGTGTTATCAACTGCTGAAAATTAAAGACTCTACAACCTCTGAAATAATTATTATTGCTGAGGCATATTAAAACTTACAACAGCTTCATCTTTATGAAATCAATCTATACAAATATCTAGCTTACAATTCTTCCAGCAAAACTTAGAGAAGGCCAGTTGTATTGCAACGTCTAGATAGCCACAAACTGTTCGTGTATTTTGAACCAGTGAGTTTTCTTCTCATGCTTATGCACTTCTGATAAACAGAGAAACAGGAGGAATAGCTTATATATTCAGCCCAACTTGGGAAGAATCTCCCTAGAAATAATGTCCATGATTTTGTTATATTTAGGGCCAACATCTATGATACTCTAGTCCCCAATCCATATCCGTTTTAAGTCTTCCTTTCAAGGGAGCCACTATTGGTCTACTTTTTTACTAATCAAAACATCTAAACATATTTTACCTCATCACCACATTGATTAATGTCATGCCATTGACAGTGAAAAAACAAACAGAAATAAATCAAAAACCTTTGGTCATATTTGCTCTTCATATTGGAATCATTGTCTCTGTCACAATTGGTTTGAGCATTTATAGATTCAAAAGGATCACTGGGAACAAAGTCGGCCACAACAAGTCTCATGCATCTAACATGCCCATTAACTGCTGCAAAATGGAGAGCTGTTCTTCCACTGAGATAGTCTGCCCTTGTAACCTGAAAGGAGTGAGTAAAATATGTGATACACAGAAAGGAGAATTAACTAATTTATAAATAAAGTAAAATAAAAAGGTCTTCAGAGTGATACAAAATTTGGGATATAGCAAACTGACCATGGGCCTTGTAAAAAAGTGATCTATAACCGTCTCTTCATTAGAAGAGATCAACGTTTGAATTTCAAGCCCCAACTACAGCTTGGTAACAATACTATGCGGAATGGAAAAGAGAAAGATGCTGAAAGGAAAACTCACACTGCAGTTGAAGAGCAGGAGAGTCTGTACAACTTCCCAGTGCCCATATCGACACGCTTGCATCAATGCCGTCTTCAAATAAAATTTCATAACAATTCCGCAATTAAATTCAATACAGATCCACCAATTCTCATTCATTTAAGAAATTGCCCAGTTTTAAATTCCTTACACGTAAAATTACAGAACCCAAAACATAATCGAGCTGATCCCACAAAATTTATCAAATCACATTCACAATCACAGATCAAACTCAAAAGTTACAAACAATCCATTCTAATCTATTCTATTTATTATATAAAGCACAAAACTCAATTGGCAAAGCTATATCACACATTTTGTATGCTCAAATTATCCTTATGTGCGATTTCAATTATAATTTCTTCAATTTTTTTTTTTAACTTTCATATAAATTCAATGTTTTTAATCTTAAAGAAAAGAACCCAGAAGAGAAAGACATTGAATCTTGCACCTGACCACAGTAATTTCTGGAATTGACATCAGCTCCATTGTCAAGCAACAAAGCAACAATCTAAAATCACCAAAAACAAAACACACTACATAAATACAAATACAAAAAAAAACAAAACAAAACATATATGGATAAAAAAAAAAAAAACAATAATGGGGTGGAATAAGAAAAGGGTTAAAATGGGGGGAGACCTCGTTGTGGCCTTTAGCGGCGGCGAAGTGGAGAGGAGAGTTGAGGCCACCAAAGGTGGAGTATTTGGAGAGACAAGGGTTGCAATCAAGCAACATCTTCGCCTCCACCAAATCTCCGTCTCTCGCCGCCGAAACCAACCTCTCTCCCGACGCCGAGCACCCAAATGAATTCCCCATTTCTCTCTCTCTCTCTCTCTCTCTCTCTATATATATATATATATATCTGTATCTATTGTTGTATATGCATTATAGGCCAAGAGAGGGGGTGAATTAGGTCAAACAAAGTTCGAAAAGGACATGGGAATAAATCGGAGATGAGATGAAAACAAAGGACAGAGAGAGAGAGGTGGTTGGTGGTGTTGAAATTTGGATTTGGGTGATTTTGTGTTGGGGAAGACGTGGTTGGTTGCCTTGGCATAATTTAATTTAGCACATATTTTTTATTTTAATAATTTTTTAATTATTTATAAAATATATATATAAAAATAAAAAGAGTGATATGATTTACAATTTTTTTACTTTTTAAGTGTATTTATGTTAGGTGTGTCTAAAAAGTAAAAAAAAAATGTTTAAAATATTAAAAAATTCAGTAAAAACAAAAAAATACTGAAAATAAGAAAATAAAATTTTCTATAAAGTATTTTTTGAAAAGTGGAAACAAGTAAGGTGATTATTTTTTATTTAAATTATATTATTTTTTTTATCATTTTACATTTTGTTGAAAGATTTTAAAAATATATTTATTTAAATCATTTTAAAGAATTATATATATATACACAGATGAGAGAGAGAGTGTGTGTTAGATGTTTTCCTTTGTTTTGGGTTTGTTTCTCCTTTGAGAAACAAAAATGGAGAAGAAATGGGGGGCTGTGCCAACCAATGTCTAGGCAGCTCTACTTTCCCTTTATAAAAAAATAAAAAAATAGAAATAAAATAAAAATATCAGGGTTAGTTTTTACTAAAAGTTAGGCCTCGTTTGGCAAATGACCTTTTTAGTCAAAAAGTCAAAAAGTTACTAAATAACCAAAAAGCCAACAATTCATACCAAAAAGTTAAAGATTCCATTTTTTCTCTACTTTTTGCACATCTTTTCGTAAAAAGTCAAAAAATCATCCCAAACATACTAATTTTTTTTACATTACATTTTAGCCAAAAAGTCAAAAAGTTACTAAAAAAGCCTATTCCCAAACGAGGCCTTAGATATGAATTTACAAGAATGATTACAATTTATTTCTACCTTATTTTTTGAACTCTCATTTCTTGGAACTCCCACCTAACAAAATGAATTCCTTATATTTTCTTTTTAAATCCCACCTTAATACCAACTATATCTCTAATTTTTGAAACCATAACTCTAACCTTAATTTTCTCTATCACACACCCCTTTCATCTCCATCGGAGCATGATCTACCATTGCTCACTACTATCAGTCGTTCTATCCATTCACAACCCCACCATTCTTCACCTTCAATTCTTCTATCACCATCCATTTACAACCACCGTTGTCACTATCCATCATTATTGCTTTCTACAATCATCGCCTCAATCGTCGCCATCATATCACAGAGAGTGTGTGAAAAAGAAAGAGTTGCGAACCCTGGATCATCATCATTATCATTGTTGCCTTCTACTTCTTCTTCTTTGCATTGGTTACGGCGGTAATGGCGATGACAGCTAGGAAGGAACAGTGGCACAAATCCTAGATCTAGGGTTTGTAAGAGTCTTGCAATAGCGGCAAAGAAGAAAGCGCTCACGGTGGTGGGGCAAGCCCTAGATCAATATCAAGATTGTGATAGTGAGAAGAAGCGTTGGGAAGCTGGTCGCAGCAAAGGTAAGAACGACGATGGTGGTCGTGCGAGGCTGCGATGGCGATGGGTTCGTTGTCATGGGGGTTTGCAATAGCAGTGGGTCACCAGTCGTAGTTTCTCCTTTGAGAAACAAAAATGGAGAAGAAAGGGGGGGCTGTGCCAACCAATGTCTAGGCAGCTCTACTTTCCCTTTATAAAAAAATAAAAAAATAGAAATAAAATAAAAATATCAGGGTTAGTTTTTACTAAAACTTAAATATGAATTTACAAGAATGATTACAATTTATTTCTACCTTATTTTTTGAACTCTCATTTCTTGGAACTCCCACCTAACAAAATGAATTCCTTATATTTTCTTTTTAAATCCCACCTTAATACCAACTATATCTCTAATTTTTGAAACCATAACTCTGACCTTAATTTTCTCTATCACACACCCCTTTCATCTCCATCAGAGCACGATCTACCATTGCTCACTACTATCAGTCGTTCTATTCATTCGCAACCCCACCATTCTTCACCTTTAACTCTTCTATCACCATCCATTTGCAACCACCGTTGTCACTATCCATCATTATTGCTTTCTACAATCATCGCCTCAATCGTCGCCATCATTATCGCAGAGAGTGTGTGAAAGAGAAAGAGTTGCGAACCCTAGATCATCATCATTATCATTGTTGCCTTCTACTTCTTCTTCTTTGCATTGGTTACGGCGGTAATGGCGATGACAGCTAGGAAGGAACAGTGGCACAAATCCTAGATCTAGGGTTTGTAAGAGTCTTGCAATAGCGGCAAAGAAGAAAGCGCTCACGGTGGTGGGGCAAGCCCTAGATCAATATCAAGATTGTGATAGTGAGAAGAAGCGTTGGGAAGCTGGTCGCAGCAAAGGTAAGAACGACGATGGTGGTCGTGCGAGGCTGCGATGGCGATGGGTTCATTGTCATGGGGGTTTGCAATAGCAGTGGGTCACCAGTCGTACGCCTGTTGGGTGGGTCACAAATGGGCAGGAGTTTGTCACGGTAGGAGAAGACTAGCTGAAGGTGGAGAAAGTGGTGAAGGAGGGTAGTGGTGATGGTGGTTGTGAGATTAAGATTAGAAGATCATGGTTGGAGATAGCAATGAGAGATGGGATTGGGGTTAGTGTCACAACTCAACCCCCACCCCAAGGGATTAGAGAGGTAACCGGCCAGTAATCTGAGATTATCAAAGGCTTGCTTAACAGTAATATAGTAATAGGGGCTGGCGAAAGCCGATAAATAATAAACTATAACGTTCAATGAGCTATGAGACTTAAATGAAACAAAATGAATTTTTATATACATATACGTACACATCCATGATAGACCATGTCAAGCTTATGTACAAAAGAAAATATCAATTAGGAAGAAAACCCCAATAAACAAAAAAAAAAACCCAGTCACACCAAAAAGGCCTTAAACCAAAACTATTATATTTAATTACAACGTCAAAATGGTGAATTTCATACCACCCAAAAACCTTAGAGCTTGACCAGTAGGGACCTCGAAGTGAGGCACATCAATTAGTTTCACAAAATAGAGGGTTGGTCGATGCCATTAGGTCCGGTCTTGCACTTGATCACCTGCATACATATATAAATAATAAGCTAGAACCTAGTGAATAACAATTATGTAAAGGGGTTTATGAATGATATCCTTACAGTAATTGAAAACAGTCAGTTTTAACAGTGAATCAATTCTCAAAGCAGTATCTTATACATTGCAGAGTCATAATGAAATCATAACAGTTATACGTGGTACATCCAATAGCAGAACAGTACAGTAGGTCATAAAGACCGAGTAGTCATATATAATAGCCATCAATATAGTAAACAGAAATTCCAAGAATTGGAACTAACAAAAATCTCTGTAACAGTAACAGTAACAATAACCGTAACATATGTTATAGATGCCACGAATACATTTCATAAAACAAGACAATCATTCATTCAGTAAATAGTATCATTTCAAAAACAGAACTTAATAATATCATTCAGAAAATAATTAGAAATTGAACATAACTTTACAACATTGTTACTTACAGTTAGCTCCTTGAAACACGTGGTTAGGACGCGGTGTTTGACCTACACAGACACATGTAAGTACAACAGTTCAAAATACATTTCATCCATTCAATCGGTTCATAACCTATCCATTATTTATTCACTAAATCATTCCTATTTGTTCTTCTATTTCTTTTGTGCTCATTAAATGCATATGCATATGAAAAACACTTGAAAACCATGCAAATGGAGGCTCAAAAGTCAGAAAAATGGAAAGAAAATAAAATCGAGCCTGCCTTGTTTGTTGCACGTGTCGTGGCCTGGCCGCTCGTACGGTGGCCTTGGCTGCACTAGTGGCGCCAAAGCAGAATGCATTTTTGAGCCAAGGAGGACTGGCAGCTTGTACGGTGGCCTAGGTCGCTCGAGTGGTCTAGGTGGAGTTGCAATCTGAAAATCTGTTATGTATTTGAAACCCAAGCTTTTCAAACACCAGCTCCTTTTTCACGCATTTCAAGCCTCAAAATTCACAAAAACAACTTGACTTTGGCAAATCTAACTTCAAATAAAAATCATAAGTTTAAATCAAAACCCAAGGTTCCAAGTAAAAGATCAAAATCTAACATAAAAATGGTAAAATCATAATCCATGTAAATTTGAGTTCCAAACCTTCAAAATTCATGGAAGTTCCTTCTCATTTCAAAAATCATGCAAGAAACGAGTGATTGAACATGAAGAATGTCATGTATGACAACATCTTAAGCTATTTCTTACACTTTTGCCCTTTAGGGTTCTTAACATTAACTTACACCACCCAATTCCTTAATTCAACTTAGATGCTATGATTTCATAAGTAATACAACTTAAATTCAAGACAATAGAGAAAAATTCTTACCTTAGATAGTTAAATTTGTGAAGATTTGCTCAAATTCTCCTTTTCTTCTGCTTCTTGAGCTTTAGGGTTCTCTTTTTCTCTCTTAATCTCTAGAACTCTCTCTCTTCCAATTCTCTACACAACCCACTAAATCTTTTTTTCCTTTTTTATATATATATTATTTGTTGACTAACTCATTGCTATAATTCCTAATTAATTCCAAGTTTAAATTCATAATCAAGTTCACTTAATTACCATCATGATCTAATTTCCTTGCACTAAATTGAAGCATACTACGGTGAATCAGACTTTAATTCCATATTCCAAATATTAAATTCTAACCTTATGGTTTACTGATTTAGACAGGTTTATTCCTATTCACCATGCATCTGTTAACACATGACACATAATTAACATAGAACACATAATCAAGACTAATCACATAATTTAGCAAGTAATTAAGGTGGTGGTTGTTACAGTTAGGGTTAAGGTTAGGGTTAGGGTTACGGTTAGAAGATTATGAGTGAGTGTAAAAGTGTAATTTTATGTTGAAACAAAATTGGAATTAAAAAAAATGAGGGAGGTGGGGGTTCTAAGAAGAAAAATAGAGGTAAATAGCAGTCCTCTTTAAAAGAAGGACGAATTACCAATACACCTTCTAAGGTTTGCTTAACGTACGAATTGTCCTCTATAA